CTGGTGTGCTCTTCTAATCGCCCTGGTGTCTGGCTGCGTATTATCAGCAGCCAGGTGATTTGCCTCAGCCTCCCACCCTGCCATAAAGGTCTCCCCCTTACTTTCACAGAGACTGTGGAGCACACAGCAAGCAGAAATAGCAATGGGGAGATTTCTTTCTCTGAGGTCAGAGCGAGTCAGTAGCGATCACCAGCGACCTTTTAAACAGCCAAATGCACATTCTACCACCATTCTGCACTTGCTCAGCCTGTAGTTGAACAGCTCCTGACTCCTGTCCAGGCTGCCTGTGTATGGCTTCATGAGCCATGGCATTAAGGGGTAGGCTGGGTCTCCAAGAATAACTATTGGCATTTCAACATCCCCAACGGTTATTTTCTGGTCCGGGAAGTAAGTCCCTTGCTGCAGCCCTTTAAACAGAGTAGTGTTCCTGAAGACGCGAGCATCATGAACCCTTCCCGGCCAGCCCACGTTGATGTTGGTGAAACGTCCCTTGTGATCCACAAGTGCTTGCAGCACCATTGAAAAGTACCCCTTGCGGTTTATGTACTGGGTACCCTGGTGCTCCGGTGCCAAGATAGGGATGTGGGTTCCATCTATCGCCCCATCACAGTTAGGGAATCCCATTGCAGCAAAGCCATCCACTATGACCTGCACATCTCCCAGAGTCACTAGCTTTCGTAGCAGCACCTCAGCGATTGCTTTGGCTACTTGCATCACAGCAGCCCCCACAGTAGATTTGCCCACTCCAAATTGATTCCCGACTGACCGGTAGCTGTCTGGCGTTGCAAGCTTCCACAGGGCTATTGCCACTCGCTTCTCAACTGTGAGGGCTGCTCTCATCTTGGTATTCTGGCGCTTCAGGGCAGGGGAAAGCAAGTCACAAAGTTCCAAGAAAGTGCCCTTACGCATGCGAAAGTTTCGCAGCCACTGGGAATCGTCCCACACCTGCAACACTATGCGGTCCCACCAGTCTGTGCTTGTTTCCCGGGCCCAGAATCGGCGTTCCACGGCTATAACCTGCCCCATTAACAGCATGATCTCCAAAGCACCGGGTCCCGCGGTTCGACAGAATTCCATGTCCATATCCTCATCACTCTCGCCGCCGCGCTGCCGTAGCCTGCTCCTCGCCACCTGGTTTTCCAGGTTCTTGTTCAGCATAAACTGCACAATAAGGCGCGAGGTATTTACAATGTTCATGACTGCTGTCTTGAGCTGAGCGGGCTCCATGCTTGCCGTGGTATGGCGTCTGCACTGTTCACCCAGGAAAAAGGCGCGAAACGGTTGTCTGCTGTTGCTTCCTGGAGAGGGGGGAGGATATACCCAGAACCACCCGCGACAATGTTTTTGGCCCCAACAGGCATTGGGATCTCAACCCAGAATTCCAATGGGCGGAGGAGACTGCGGGAACTATGGGATAGCTATGGGATAGCTACCCACAGTGCAACGCTCCAGAAATCGACGCTAGCCCCGGTACATGGACGCACACCGCCAAATTAATGTGCTTAGTGTGGTTGCATACATTCAACTTTATACAATCTGTTTTACAAATTCGAATTATATAAATTCGGATTAATCCCGTAGTGTAGACATACCCTTAGCTGTGTAATCACCTGTTGACCAGACTGTCTAGCCTTTTCTTATTCTATACCTATTTATAATCCCACTTAGTATAAATTATTCAGTTTCAACTGTTTTTCCTTATCTTGTCTGAAATTGTTGTTAAAATGTGAACACTTCTCTTCTCCCTCTATTTGAATGATTTTAGTTTTAATATTAATAGGTACCATTCTCTTTTTAAGAAACCAATTCCATGGTATTTGGATTATTTGAACTCCTTGGCCCTAGAACTGTTTGTGATAACCTCCATGCTGATTTTGTGCCTTATGAAGAGTTGTGTTTGTTGATTTACAAGAACTGGATTGCAGACTTAAAACAAACAAACAAAACATCAGAAGCACTCTGCAAAGTTTATTACACTCTATACAGATACGAGAGTATAGTGAGGCAAATTAAGGGTCTTACCAGTTCAGAGTCTCAGGGTAGGTCTACACTTAAGGTTTCCAACTGCTGCAATGTTTTAACTCTGATTTTTCTGAAACAGCATCAATTTAGCCATTTTGCATGTATGTAGTACTTTGTATTGATGTTTGTATGTGTAAAATAGCACCGTTGTTAGATAACAAATGTATACCATAATATACAAGGTAAGCAACAAGGCAGAGTTAACATTGTTAGACGCTTTAGCTCTGCATTTTGTGACCTATGTAATTTATCAGCCCTAACAATTAATTGAGTTTAGTTTTTTCCATGCATCCGAAGAAGTGGGCTGTAGCCCACGAAAGCTTATGCTCAAATAAATGTTAGTCTCTAAGATGCCACAAATACTCCTGTTCTTTTTGCGGATACAGACTAACACGGCTGCTACTCTGAAATTAGTCATATGTAATCTCTCAGACTACTAATGCCACTTTAATTTGTTCATCCTGTCTAAAATTTCACTGATTTTTAGCCTAAATTGTCTTTGTTTTATCCTTGCATTTTTTGTTCCTACACTCCTGGTGTACTTCATTTTCTTCAAGCCAGTCTGATGATTGCGCCTTAATTCTGCAAGTGCTTTCCTCCTCTTTGAATTCGGGCTGTTACATGCTGTCCATTTCTTTAGCCTCTTCTTTCAATTTTCTTTCTACTATGATGTTATTTTGGGTCTGGGAAGCCCATTGGAGCACTTCACAGCTCCAACTTCCTCATTGCCACTATCATCTGGTTCACCACTTTGGCTATTCTGTATCTTCTATATAAAATTATCAGTGTTCATGCTATTAAACTATTATCTAGGCCTTCCATACATATCCTCAAAAGGGAGTTTGGCTAACACCAACAGCCCCCCAAATAACTTGAAACTAACTAACTGGGTAGCAAATTTTCACGTAGAGACAATACTGTTTCCCTATGCTATGCACCGGGTAGTCAAATCTGCTTTGAGTTTTAATGTTGTGATATTGGTGAGATCTCAAACCTTTGGCCTGGCATAGCAGCAGTGATAAGTAGGGCCCTACCAAATTCATGGCCATGGAAATCTAGTCTCCCCCAGGAAATCTGGTTATTGTAAGGGTGTCACGGTATTGCCACCCTTACTTCTATGCTGCCTTCAGAGATGAATTGCCAGAGCATGGCGACTACTGGCCCAGGAACTGGGTTTTGTTCCAGTTCAAGCCACCAAACAAAAATAACGGTTCAATTACTGGTTTGAGCCAGTTCAAATAAAATTTTAGTTTCAGTGGAAATAAATTTAAAAAAGAGTTCAAACTTAAAATGGAAACTCTTTTGAATTTTGACCATTTATTTATTTTTTAACTTTAACTTTACATGCGTTTTCCTAGTGGTTCTGCGTTGTCAACTAAACAGTTTTTTTTATGAACAATTTGTTTGAGAGAACTAAAATAATATCTTCTAATATTTGCCCGTCCATATTGGATCTTTTCAGTGAAAGGATAAGTTTGGGGTATTGGCCCTGCCTCAAGTTGTGCAACTGGAGGGTGAGCTGCCCCAATGTTGTGGATGGGTGGGAGGAGGCCTGGCTAAGGGGGAGAAGGGTTGGGTAGCCATTAACTCTCTTCAAGTGCAAGGAAAAAGGTATTGTTAACTTCTGGGACCAGGGTGCATTCCACATCTTCTCTCCCCAGTGGGAAGTATCAGAGATGGACCTTCTATCGTTCTCTGGATCCACTGCTTCCACATGTGTTGTGCAAGCAGTTCCTAAGCTTCTCATCTTCTTTCCCACTCTTGTAGGCCTCATTCTCGTCTTGTTATACTGAGGCATGCCTTCAGGTATGCCTATTTGTTATCTTGTTGTCTTGTTTTATAAAGTAAGATCACAGGAGTTTTTTAAATATTAAGCCTAAAAAAAATATGAAACCTTTATTTTAACCAGAAACCCAAATAATTATTTTAAAGTTCAGGTTCAGTAGGTAGGACAAATTCATGGTTCAGGTTTGGTTCTAGTTCAAGTAAAAATACTGGTATGAACTGGTTCGTCGATTCCCTGGCTAGGACTAGATGTTTTGTAATTTCTCCTTAGTCTTTGGACTACCTCGTGCATGATGGCATGTTAAACATCCTTCTTATTTTAAATTAGCTTCACCACTGTCATTACGAAGGTCCTGTATCATGCTTGCCATCCTTTAGGTTGTGGAAGATGATGGAATTTCCTTTAGAATTAGTTAATATCACTCTTTAATCAGCAGCTTTTATGGAGGTATTTGTTGAAGTAAGTCATGTCTGTCCCTGCTCTCATAGTCTAGGCTTTGAAGTTGTAAATCTTACTTTTAACCACTTCTTTTAAATTAACTAGAGATTTTTAAAAAAAATGAATAGAAAATCAGTGTTCAAATGCTGAATTAGCTATACTGTCTGACCTGTTCTACATCATCAACCTGAGCTTCTGCTGAAACTATCAATGCAATGGCTATTTCGCTGAAAAAACATTCATAGCTATGGTGATAGTGAAACAGTTCTTAAAAATCTGTTTTGAATATGAACTAAAATATGACTACTCCAACTTTCCTTTAATTTCGCATATCTTAGTCAATACTGGTATTCTGAAAAGTAGTATATTTGGGAGCCAATTTTGCTTCCATTGTAATCATGTACATTGTTCTGTCACTGCAGATCTCAAAATAACTGTGTTGGAGTCCAGAGAGATAGCTAAATAACAATAAATTTTGAAAGACCATAACATCCTCGGTATTAAAAATGCAGGAGAAACCGAAGTTGGGAAATCAGTAGATTTTTAGAATGTATGTTTCTTTCTGCCCAAATTTCTTCATAGTTCAGATCACCTGATTAAAAATTAAGCCTCATTCCACATTTTCTTTCCAATGTTTGGTCTTTTTAGAGGATATATAATTTGCTTACTGCATAGATCTCTGTATACACTTTGGTTTTGGCTTACAATGCATAATAAATGCATATATTTTCCCTTAATATATTTACATCTGTAGGGGACGTGATCAACCTTGGTGACCGACAACTGACTGTCATGCATATGCCTGGTCATTCAAGAGGAAGTATTTGCTTACACGACAGAGATCAGAAGATATTGTTCAGCGGAGATGTTGTTTATGATGGATCGATGATTGACTGGCTTCCCTACAGCAAGATAAGTGATTACGTCACAAGTTGTGAGCGTCTTATAGAATTAGTGGACAGAGGTCTTGTGGAGAAGGTGCTTCCAGGGCATTTTAACACCTTTGGAGCTGAAAGGCTGTATCGTTTAGCTTCCAACTACATTTCAAAAGCTGGAGTTTGTCACAAAGTTTCTACCTGTGCCATGAGGTCCATTGCAAGTTTAGCTCTTCATGTGACAAATTCTAGAGTCACTTCTTAGTGTCGGTTCATTTTGTTAATATCAGCTATTGTGAAACCAAATGGCTTGTGAGCTAGTGTTGAAAGAAAGCAAACAAAAGCAGTGTGTGTTATTAAAGAAAAGGCAGACTGATAATGAATGAGTCAAAGATTCTTATTTTTGCTTGCTTTTTTATTTTATAAAATTAACTTCAGCTATAGCTATGCAAAAGCTACTATCTATCTTTTCTTTCTGTTTTTCAAGGCATGTTGGCACATGATTTATGAATGCCATTAGACTGCGGTTTGAAATATGTTTTATTTTTGATATTATTCTGATGGATATGTATGATATGCCAAAATGAAATGTTTGACATTTATGCCTGAAACTTAACTGTTTTTATGTGGTGTTAGGTTAAAGGCTCAATTTGTGTTTAAAGTGTATTTTTAAAATGGCTGAAATGTAATGTAGCTGTTACTGCTATATTTGAAAAGATAGCTGTAACATTCCATTGTCCTATTATAAGTACTGAATTCAACGTCCAGTACATTGTTTATTACTTTTAAGTGAATGTAACTTGAACTGTTTACTATTTGTTTATAAAGTATTTCAGTACATATTGTTGCTTTTTGAAGTAAAAGTGCATTGCATTTGAGTCTCTGTTGTTCCTAAAACAGATTAAATGCATCCATGAAAATTGCTAAGACATATAATCATTTCTTCATTAAAATTGAAGTGTTATTTTAAATGATGTTAAACAAGTTAGTTTATATGTGCATAATTATTTAACAATTTAAATGGACACTGTCTGATTATTTATATATATATATATATATATATATATATATATATATATATATATATATATTTTACCTTCCTAACAAGTTTGACAGAGTTTTGTTTTCAAATTTTGTTTTTCCAGTTTAGCAAATTTATTTTATCCACTATGTTTAAGTGGAGTTTAAAAATTAACCTACTTCTTTGTTTGCAATTGACTTTATACGAAGAGATGGTTTTATGTGATCATACCAAATTATATTTTGGGCTCTATTCAGAAGAAAATTATCTATGGCCTTTCCGACGTAACATAAATTTTGGGAGAAAGAATGGTCTGCTATGGAAACTAATCACAAATTAATAAGCACTCTTTCCCAGAAGTTATGGAAGTGAAGATCTTACGTAAATCATCTCTCCTCTTGTGGCTGTTTACTTCATATATTCTTCACCAAAAGCAGCACTGCAAAGAGTTTAATAAAGGCATGACACATTTATTTAGATTTTAACAGTGCCTATTTAATGTAAGCTGGAGCAAAACTGTAAGTGGGCAGGACAGATCCACTAGACTGTGGCTAGTCAGAGGACAGGTTAGCAATTATATGTTCTGGGTTTTTTTTGGGGCGGTGGGGGTGTTTGAGGAAGAAATCTATATTCCTTTATGTGAAGGAATGTTTACTGTGGATGATAGTTCTTCCTGAATTAACCTCAGAAATGAAGGTATTTAACTCAGTTGCTACTTTTCTTTAATACCAGAGAAGAAAGGCAAAAAAAGTGGGCCTGAAAAGTCAGTCACTTAGTGAAGGGCCACAAAATAAACTTCAGATCATGGCCTCTCTTCTTTTCAGTTGACTGACATTTTCTCTTATCCACATATATTTAGACTGCAATGAGCATTATTCTGGAAAGCAGGCAGGCTGGCAGTTGGAGAACTGTTGTGGGAAGCAGAAAATTCAAAATGTCTGAGGAAGCATACTGTAGCTACCAAAGAAGGTTGGGTTTACATTGAATTGTCTGGGTGACTTGCAGCAGCTGTTGGAACAGGACTCCATGATTCAGTAACTGCTAAGAAAGGATGTTTTGTACTGTTTAATCACAGAATTTGTGCTCCAGCATCAACTATTTCATACTACAGAGTCCTTGACTTCACTGGGTGTTTTGCCAGTGTCAAAGAGCAGTAATTATCAATAATATCAGTAATTGTCAGATTTCTTCCTCCATTAATTTTTGCCTAAATCAGTAGTGGACCCAGTATAAATACAGTCTTGGAATGGTGTTTAATAGTATACTGCTGCTCCAGATACACAGAAAATCATAGTTTTGTGGATCTTAAAATAGCAACTATTTTTATATTATAAGAAATAACTTGTTAGGCAAGTAATATCCTCTCTATAAAACATCTGGAGGCCTTCCTCTCTGATTATTTTTTTTAATTGTCAGATTTTGATCTTAAGAGTTTGACAGTGTCCCTTTCACATTACTTTGATTAAATATATTTAAAATCGGTTAAGTTTAAGTATAGCAAAATTTGGGGTGTTTAGAATTGTTTGTAAAAAGTCTGAAGCACTGTCTGTGTTAATTAAGTTTGTTGTTTTCAATATTGTGGAGGTTTTACAGAAAATATTAAACTTGGTTTGTCTTCTATCAAAACTTTACTGATGTTGGCTCTTTTCTAGATAAAACTGTATTGCATCTTATTTTGCCATGGATACTCATAATAAAAGTGTTATATCATAATAGTATCCAGTTATAATTTCCATATGTATTAGAATCATAGAAATATAGGGCTGGAAGGGATTGCAGTCACCCAGTCCAGCCAAGCACACTGAGGCAGGACCAAGTACGGTATATATCTAAGGTGTTTGTCTAACCTGTTCTTAAAATCCTGTAATGACAGTGATTTCACAACCTCCCTTGAAGCCTATTCCAGTACCTAACTATCCTTATAGTTACAAAGTTTTCCCCAGTATCTAAATTTAAAATCTCCCTTGCTGTAGATTAAGCCAATTACTTTTTGCCCTACCTTCAATGGACAGGGCCGTCATCTTTACAATAGCCCTTAATCGGTTTAAAGACTTATCAAGTCATACACACGTACTGTTTTCTCAAGACTAAACATGCCCAGTATTTAACCTTTCCTCATAAGTCGTTTTCTAAACTGTCTAGCATTTTTGTTGCTCTTCTCTGGGCTCTCTCCAATTTGTCCACATCTTTTGTAAAGTGTGTCACCTAAAACAGAACACAGTGCTCCAGCTGTGGCCTTACCAGTGCAGAGTAGAATAGAAAAACTAGCTCCTGTGCCTTAATGTATTTTACTATATATTTTAAATGGAATATTTTTCTTTAATAACAGAAAAATTAAGATCTTTGTTCAAATGGAAGAGGATATTAAATGTAAATTTTATAATTACATTTCTGTCCTAATAATGTAAACTGCACTGTAAACTTACTCATGATGGACAGATGCTGCAAGACATGATTTGGTCCTTTCTTTAGTAATGTGTTTGTACAAAAAAAAGCATCTTAAATTTCTTTCAACAAAATCCACACATGAACATTATATAATACAATTTCCTTCTTTTATTAGAAAGACTGCTGGTAGGAAGCATCCCCAAAAAATAGGAAGTACAGTTTTACACAAACAAAAGGATGTGTTACCCTAAATTTTAGATGCCAATTAAATTAGCCTACAATAGCACTTCTAATTTAACAAAAGGGTAAGAAGATTGTGGCCCACCTGAAAGGAATTGCCAGTGTTTTACCAGGGGGCTTGTCTCTGACCTGCAGAGGGCAAACTAGTCTTGCTAACCCCTGAAAGGACACGGATACAGCCTTCTGCTCAAGGATTGACACAAGCAGAAATTCTTTGAAAATGAAATTTATTGAACAGAAATAATTTAAAAAAAAGTTTACTAAAGCAAGAAAAGATGCATAGGATTTAATAAAATACAATTATATTTAAGAATTATACAATAAAGTGGTGCAGCAAAATAAGACAGACTGCATAACATACCTAACACATATAGAGCAGAGGTTCTCAAACTGCAGTCTGTGAGCTCCATTCAGGTGGTCTGCGGATAGTTCCCTCTATGATGTGTAGCCGCCCAGGCACGCACAAGAGAATGAAGGACCATCCACCTAATTAGTGGAGCTGTGCAGGTGTGACTCCACTAATTAGGTGCCTGTACCCTGGAGAAAAGACACACATGTAAGGTGAGGTGGTGGCCTTGGGGGGAATAAGGGGTAGGTGGGAGGGGACAGGGGGGTGAGAAGAGGGGGTGGAGGGAATTTGGGATGTGCAGGGCTGCGGTGGCCAGAGGAAGAGGCGACTTTCCCCATTCCAGGGCTGCGGCTGCCGGGGAGAGATGGCCCTCCTTCCCAGCTCGGGCTACCATGGTGGGGGAGAGAGGGAGATACCCGCCCCCCCTTCCCAGCGGCAACCCCTCTCCTTCCCAGCCCCAGCTTGGGGGCTGCCACGGCGGGAAAGAGGGCACATTCATTGCATTAGAAAGGTAAGACTACTGATATTAAATGAGTTGTGTGCTTTTATTTGTAGAACAAAAACAGTTAATTAAGGTTTTTTTATATAGCACTTTTATCCAAAGCGCTTTACAATAGTTAGCTAACGGTACAAACAACATTTGGAAAGATCAATAAGTGGTCTGCTGAAACCCTCAGCAATTTTCAAGTTGTCCGGGGGCGGGAATTGAGAACCACTGATATAGAGAATACAGTAGTTTCAATGTAACGTGCATATAAAGATCCCACATACAAAGGCTTTTAGTCTTAGCGGTACAATCTAACCCTGTACTTAATACAATGTAGTATTACATGTAGAATACATGGCCTCTATATACACATAAAAAAATCATCATATTCACAGATTTAAAAAGAAAACATTTACTTAACACTAACACTTAACATCCAGTGAGCACTGGCCAAGCGGTCAGGGGAGATCCCCAGGCACTCTTAAAGAAAACCTTTTTCAGCCACCGCGGACTGTGGCTGGCAGACGAGCATCCGCTGAAATGCCGCCGAGAAGCGACAATGTAAATAGGTGTCGCTGCCGAAATGCTGCTGACAAGCAGCGTCATCCAGAGGCGTCGCCGCCAAAAATTGGCAGCATTTCAGCAGCGACGCCTCTGGAAGACGCTGCTTGTCGGCAGCATTTTGGCGGATGCTCGTCTGCCCGTCAGTATACGGGTGCACATAGATGGGGACCACTGAATTACTGTTACACTCACACTAAAATCCCTCTGACTCATCTCAGGTCTTTCTGGTGTGTCAATATAAACGATGAAGATGTCTGTGCCTGGAGAAAAGGGTCTAGCTCATAATGACATTTTTCTCTGTCTTTATTTAAATGTATATCATAAGGCTGAATTGCATCATTATTACAAACATATCCAATTCCCTGTTCTTCCATACAAGCCTCAAGTTCAATGGTTTTCCAAGTCTGATTTTGTTTTATTGCCAAGAATTTGTTTTCTGTTGATTGCATCATACTGGTGTTGACATTTAACCCAAGTGATAAAATAGGAGATATCCATTCAATTTAGGCATCAGACATCATATATGCAGGTGCTTGGTTCAATTGAGCATTGTAGGTGAAGTTTACCATCTTCCACTGAGTTTTTTTTTTTTTTTCCAGCCTCAGTGGCATATTTCCACATTGTTTCTTATTTCTAGAGGTAAAATTCCACTCATTCCATCTCCTATAATATCGTGAAAGCATTTTCCTCTTTCAGTTACCAACATTTCAGTCTTAGGGATTGTCTACATGTGAAAATTAATCCAGAATAAAAGGGGGTGTGAATGTAAAGCAGATTTAACTATTCCTGATTAACTCCATGTGTGGAGGCTTTTATCCCAGAATAAGAGTGCATTATTTCAAATTACATAAATTCAGTGACAGGTTTCAGAGTAGCAGCCGTGTTTAGTCTGTATCCGCAAAAAGAACAGGAGTACTTGTGGCACCTTAGAGACTAACCAATTTATTTGAGCATAGGCTTTCGTGGGCAACAGCCCACTTCTTTGGA